CTCTGGCATATAATTAAAATGGTTTAAAGTGAAAATGAATGAGAGAAAAAGAGGAAGTGAGAGAGAGAAATCAGAGGAACAGCAAGAGAAAGATAACTTGGTCAAAATCTAGTAACAAATAAAATCACTACATGATCATCCTGTAGAGGCTAAGCATCTGTATTAATATAGTATTTGAATTATACCATTATTAGAGGAGACTGAGGAGGGATATGATTGAGATGTGAAAACTTATAGGGGTATAGACAAGGTAGACAGGAATAGACTACTCCCCTTGATAGAGGGATCAATGACCAGGATGCATAGATTTAAGGGAAGGATCAGGAGATTTAGAGGGGATGAGAGGAAAAATTGTTCACCCAGGGGGTAGTGGGAATCTGGAACTCACTGCCTGAAAGGGTGGTAAGAGGCAGAAACCCTAATAACATTTAAACAGCATCTAGATATGCACTTGTAAAACCAAAGCATACAAGGCAATGGAGCAAGTGCTGGAAAAAGGGATTGTAATAGTTAGATGATAGTATTTGAACAGAATGCATGGGACGGGCCTTCTTCTGTGCTGTAGACCACCATGACTCTATAAATAAGAATTACAAAATACATTTGGGATTATAGGGAAATGTGTCCTGATGTTTTTTGGAAGTATGGAATTGCACAGCCCCTTTTTGTTTTAAACTGCTGTGCAGTATGGTAGATAAAGGGACTGTAGGAACATTCCATTTGCTGTGCAATTGTGTGGCTTACACCAAATAACCCTGTATTGAGGCTTGAAATTTGTCACAACCCTTCAATGAGACCTGTGAAAGTGAGGTGAGTTCAGAAATACAAGAGTGGAACGTTGGCCTTTGATGGCAGGTGGCAGTGGGGCTATGGGTGCTATACTTTGGTCAAAGCTTCACTGTGGCCACTGTGGCAACTCCAGACATTCCAGTTTGTAACTCAACATGTGATCCTGAACCCTAAATTAGGAAGTGCTGCCTCGACGGAACACTGGAGTGCAACAAAGTGACACTTGGGTTTAATTTATTAATTGATAGCTAAGGAATACGATGGAAATTTCTAAGTAAAATATGACCTCATTGGGGTTGGTTCTAACTATTGAGAGTTTGCCATTATTTAATATTCTAATATTTATATTTACTGCATTCAGCTACAACAGCAGTATCTATTTTCTAAATTAAACTCTCACTATTAAAAAGAAACCTAGTTATGAAAGCTAATCACTACTGCAGTGATTAGCACCACAGCTGCAATGCAAAATTTTGATATGATCTCATAGAACCATACTGGTATCATACATAGTAAATTTAAATGCCATCCATGATTAGTAATGCACACTTCCTTCATTTGTAGCATTCTTCAAATTGTGTAACAATTTTGTAATTCTACAAGGATTACTATACCTATACCTATTGCAGGCCTGTTATTGCTTGGTGTTTGGCAAAATAGTAATAGTTTTAAATAAAGCAGGTTAAATTCTGTTACAAATTCTTGAAATCAGAGGTGCCTTTGTTCTCTGAAGGTGATTTCCGTGTACCTCAAGTGTAAATTGACTTTTGTCCAATATATACATATATATGTGTATGAATGAAGGCAAAACATCCACTTTGACGTCTGAACTAGATAGTGCTAAATTGAAATGCTCACATGTACTTCAATAGCAAGAAGGCTGTAGTACAGCAGAAAATTAATGTTGCTTAACTATGATATTTTTCTGCTGATACAAGTACGGTTTAATTCCTTATTTTGCATTGTAAAGAGATGCTGCATAATTTAAAATTTACTGAGTCCTATAACCACTGTGTTCACTTTACTGTGAATTTAAAACTGACTAATTCATATCAGGTCTGCTCTCAATTATCCTTCTTGAAAGGGTTTTTCAGAGATTGTAAGGAAACACATCTAAAAGGCCATGGATAGTTGGTTCAGGGCACAAGAGGTGTATCATTATCACAATCTTGATTCATGCCATTGCCCAGCAGTTAAGAACAACAAGAGTAAACAAGAATTAAGAAAATAAATTGTGGGACTGTCTGACATCAATTATCTGGACAATTTACAGACTTTAAAATTTGCAACATAAGTTATTCATTCTGACAGCAAGATGAGGAAGAAATGGGATACCGCTATATCAGAAGTTGTCCAGAATAGCAGGAATGGGGGTAGGAGATTTGGGTCTGACATGGCAGCCAATTTATACATGGTAACTGAAGCTTTAAACCAACATGTGAAATTTATCTGGAACGTCTGAAAATATTTCATATCTATATTGTTCCTTCTCAATATGTAAACAGCTGGGCTCTGTCTGTGATTACCTGATGAAATAGTGAAGATCAGGAGGTGTTTGCATGGTAGAAAATTATAGGAGTAAAGCCATAAATCCTCTAAGCTGAGGCACTGTTGCAGTAGTGTATCATACTGTATTGCTCATGATATCCAATATTTTTTCAATTTGTATACTGAGTATTATTTTCAATCTGGCCTCAAGACCTTAAAGTCCATATTGTTTAAATTATAAAGAAGTTATTCTGTTCTGGATTTCATTTAGAACATCATTGATTGGACATACCTATATCTGGTGCTTTTTGCAAAGAACATTTTGCAAAGCAAAGGGACTGGCTACAGTAGGGAAAATGTTGCATTTACAATTAATGCAAGCTGTTTGACTGGTACAACACTTTCAGAGACAGAGAGAGATCACATGACCCTGTTTGTGGTGTGATGAAGCAACTGGATTTGAATGTAGAGTCAGAGAGGTTAACTTGGTGGAGTAGCACCTTTGCTCTCCTTTCTCCAAAATCACTCTTAAAGTTTGACTTGAAAACTTATTGAAGGACTGCTTCACACTAAGTGGAGGGTTCATAAAGATTAGAAATTTCCATCAACGTGGGAAATTCGGGGAATGGGTCTGGGTGGGATGCTATTCGGAGGGGCGGTGTGGACCTGTTGGGCCGAAGGGCCTGTTTCCACACTGTAGGGATTCTATGATTCTATGATCACTGCAGACCAAGCATTCTTAAAGGAAAATCTGAAATCTGCTACCACTATCTCCAGGTAAAAATAATCAGCTAGCTATAACTGATCCAGGAAGACACATTGGTGTCAACACCCTGTGTGAAAAGTAACTTTGGCTATCAGGCATTTGGGACAATCTGCAAATCACATTTGTTTTAGAAACTTACCTATTACTTTGCCAAAGTACTTTTAAGATAACACTCCACTGAGTGGTTCTCCGTGCATCAGTAGTATAGACCAGTAACTACATATACAGTTGCACAGTTTAAACTGTCAAGGAGTGGCACAAAGAACAGATTTAGCTCACCCCTCTGAAATCGGGTGTAACAATCCCTATCATTGATTATGTGTTGTTCTGTCCTATTCTTAGATTAGAACTATCTTTTAGTTATTATCATACAACTGTTCTCCTATTTCCACATTATCTATTGTCCCACACCCAAGTCAAGCAACGTTTCCTTACTTGTTGGAGTTGAAATATACTGACTAGAGAGCAGTATATGGCACCAGATGCCTCCTTCGTATATTTCACTTACCGTGAAATTCATGGTGGTCACATGTGAATTTTCATTGAGAATAACAGATAATCCAATTAAAAGGAGTGCAAATCTAGTCCTTTATTCATTAGAGAATCATATAGCCTTGACTCATGTGCAAGTTTTAGGACCGAGCAGACAATAAATATACATTCACATTCCCAATGCAGGAACTCTAGCCATTCATCTACTCCACAACTCATCGAACCAAACTGAGGTCGGTTCTATCACACCCTGGATGAGATCATTTAATCCAATTCCTGTAAGTTTCCATAGGATATGACTCAGATCCTGACTAGCTAAATTCAACAAGTGGTCAGGGGCAGCATTCCTGCTACCTTGTCAGAGATCTGTGCATTGCAAAGACTTCCAGACTGGAAGTCAATGGTGCGAATGGTGTTGACAGCCTGATTTTGTGTGCACAGCCAAACAACTTAGCGAGAATGTTGGTCAGGAGAGTCCCTACAGGTATCTTGATAGATATGTGTGCATTTAATACAACCTAAAATAATCTTGACAGATTAAAGCCAAAGTAAACTTATAACTTTAAGTGAATGATAAACGTGTATTGTGCACAAGCTTCCTTATTATGAAAAACATACAGGATCTGCTGATCCAAACAGATAGAAAGAAATTCCAGATTCATTTCTTTTTCTGTACAGATATCAGACATGAGTGAGGACTATTAGAATTAGAATTTAACATCTTTACCTATGAAAAGGAGGAGAAACAACCGCAGTTTGCATTGCTAATCATGATCCAAGCCAGCTGCTGCAGAGTGCTGTTGTAATTTCTTCATTAGCCTACTGCTCAAAAATGGGGTTAAAATAGAGCCGATGTATACACTCAATGTCATAGATTCCAAAAAAAATGAAGACGGCTTGCAAAGTAGAAATGAAAATATAAAAGTTGACTAATTCTGAGAAATCGGATAAGTAAACATTGGTTACAAGTATTCTAACTTCAAGGGAAAATAAGTTTGAGTATGCAGACAATTTATTGGACTAATCCACAGTTTTAAATGGGAGTTCAATCGCTTATTTAAGGGGAACTGGTAGCATACAAGGAAATGTCCTACATTAGTAATCCAGTAGCTCAGGTTCATAGTCCGGTGCCACTTATTTCACATCCCATTGCCACAGCTGGTAGAATTTATATTCAATTAATAGAACCTAGAATTGAAAGTTGATCTCAGTGATGGTGTCCTAGAAACTGTTTATTATAAAATCCCCAACTTGTTTATTAATGTCCTTTAAGGGAGGAAACTATTGTTTGCCTGCCCCGGCCCATATGTGACTCCAGATCCACACCAATATGGTTGACTCTTAATTACCTTCTGAAATGACCTAGCAAGCAACATCCACATTTCATCAAAGAAACAAACAAATTGAACTGTTAAACTCACATAATATCATCTGCTGTTATTCATGTTTACTTATAAAGGGTTACCTAATATAAGCATTCCGTTGGTCATCTTTCTTTTTCTTGATAAAGTACACAATGCCAATAATTAGCAGTAATCCTACAACTGCTCCAATGACTGCACCTGCAATGATGGGATGTTTGGGTAAAGAACCTGGAGAAAGGAAAAAGAAACAAAATTATTCCTTTTTCACATTCTTAGGGTTTCCAACAACAGAACTGCTGCTTAAGTGCACTCACAAGCAAATACAGCATCTATTTTAACATAGCAATTTTTCACAAAGCAAAACAGAGTGTCACAAATTTCAACAAAGACAGAATATGACATTTGTCGAAATATTCCACAACTCATTGAATTCTGGGACGGTTCCAGTGGATTGGAAAATTGCCAATGTGACACCCCTGTTCAAGAAGACAGGTTGATAGAAAGCAGGTAACTATAGGCCAATTAGCTGAATGTCCGCTGTTGAGAAAATGCTAGAGTCCATTATTAAGGAAGAAACAGCAGGATATTTAGAAAAGCTTAATGAAATCAGGTAGATTTGATGGGGTTTCATGAAAGGAAAATCATGTTTGACAAATTTGTTCGAGCTCTTTGAGGATGTAACAAGCACAGCTGATCTAGGGGAGCTGGTAGAAGTAGTGTGTTTGGATTTCCAGAAGACGTTCGATAAGGTGTCATAAGATAGGAATCATGGTATTGAGGGTAATGCATTAGCAGAGATTGAGGTTTGATTAACATACAGAAGTCAGAAAATCAGGATTAATGTGTCTTAGATTTTAAAAATAGAGGAATCTTGTTACAACTGTACAGGGTTTTGGTGAGGTTGCACTTGGAGTATTGTGTACAGTATTTAAGAAAGGATTGGATAGAGTTTAAAAGAGATTCTCTGGGCTGATTTCTGCAATGAAGGGATTGAGTTATTGAGGACAGCTAAATAGATTGAGCCTATATTCATTAGCGTTTAGAAAAATGAGGATTGATCGTATTGAAACATATATGATTCTGAGGGGCTTGACAGGCTTGATTTTGAGAAAATTTAGAATATCTGGTTGGCATGGAAGAGTTGGACCGAAGGGTCTGTTTCCACACTGTACATGTCTATGACTCCATGAAAAATAGTGGGGGATTCTCAAATTAGGGGATGTGGTTACATGGGTGGCACAATGGTTAGCGCTTCTGCCTCACAGCGCCACAAACCTGGGTTTGATTCCATGTTTGGGCGACAGTGTGGATTTTGCACATTTTCCCCATGTCTGTGCAGGCTTCATCCGAGTGCTCCGGTTTCCTCCCACAGTTCAAAGATGTACAGGTTAAGTGGACTGGCAATGCTAAATTGCCCAGTATCCAGGAACATGCAGGCTCTGTGGGTTAACCTGAGAAATACAGGGTTACAGAGATGGTGGTGGTTGGTCTGGGTGGAATGCTCTTCAGAAAGTCAGTGTGGACTTGATGGGCTGGATGGCCTACTTCCACATTGTAAGGGTTCTATGAATAAGGGGACACTCATTTAAACTTGAGATGCAAAGTAATTTATTCTCCTAAAGGCTATTAAATATCTGGAATTCTCTACCCCAGAGTGTTGTGGAAGCTAGATCACTGAAATTATTTAAAGAGAAGGCATATAGATTTATGAAAAAAAAATCAAGGAGAGAAAGGCCACGAGGAGCTGGCATGAAAGAGGAGTTGAGGCCTGGGGCAAATCAGCCATGTCCTATAGGATGGCAGGATAGGGTATGGAGCTGAATAAACTACTGCTCCCAGTCCTACTTCTTTTGTTCTCATACGCAACAAGTGTACAGCAAGCCAAATCAGCATCAGTGAAGAAAATAGACATTTCAGATCCAGACCATTCCCAAAACATTAACATTTTTGTTCTCTCAAATACTGACTGAGGTTACATTTTTAATTCAATTTTCCAATATCCGCAGTATCCTACTTGGAGGAATTTATAGCTCTTCCTCTTTTCTTCAATATGTTCAGTTGAGCAGGCAGGTTCATGATTTAACAACTGAACACCTCCAACATGTCACAATTTGTGACATTAACATTCAGGAAGGAAATATTGAAATGACCAAGATTTTCTGCTCACCTTGTTCAACAACATTCAAGAGAATTTCTGCAGCAGTCTTACTGAAGTCAGATGGATTGATCACTTGACAGGTATAGGTTCCATTATCTTTAAAATCAGTATTTTTTATAATAATGGAAACATCACTCCTGTTGACATTACCATCCCAAACAATGTGGTCAGGAACTTGAGACTTAGATTGTCCCGCTAAATAATATAAAATCTGTCCAAAAAAACAATGAATGAAGTCACATTTCAATAATATTATTCATTAATCAATTATCTTATGAATAAAACTTCAATAAACAATTGTTGAGTTTTATATTCAATTTTTGAAGGTTACAGAGTGAAGGTTATCAGGTAGACCATCAAGGACAACAGAAAATTAATTCTGCAATAGTTACAAGGAGGTAGAATTTCTCCTTGGTTGCATGAATTTATGCAACAGCAGTTCTACCCTTGTTTACAAATCTAAGAACAAGTACTGTTCCTCGGAGTTCCAGTCACATGGATATCAACAGGCACTTGTATAAGATCTGTGTGCTGGGTTGTGTGGCCTCTGACCTTGGCTCAATAACTCTCATCACATGATGAGAAATCAAGTGACATTCAACCAATAATTATGTAAGCAGCTGCATTTACAAGCAGAATCAGAATAACGGGACCTATAAAATGATAACCTATTTTGTAGTGCTTCTAATATCATAAAAACACAAAGCATTCCCACAGGCATTATAAAACAAATAACACAGAGGTACATCATGAGATATTAGGTCAAATGATGAAATGTTTGGTTAAAACGGGTGCATGTTTAAGAGCATCTTGAAAATAAAAGTGAGGTGGAGAGGTGTAAGGAGAGAATTCCTGAGTTCAGGGCTGAAGTGATTCAAGGCACTGCCACTGACAATGAAGTGATTAAAATTGAGAATTCACAAGAGGCTAGAATTATATTCGTATAGATATTTTGGAGGGTTACAGGGCTGGTGGAAATTGCAGAGGTAGGGACAGACACAGCCATGCTGAAAATTTTAAAATCTAGACACTGCTTAACTGGAAGCCAGTTTAGATCAGCACCCACAAAGTTACAGTGAATGGAACTTGTTAGGATTATAGTTGCACTGGAGGTGCTACACCAAAGGTTCACTAAATAGGTCCCCAGCATAGGAGACAACAAGGTGCAGGGCTGGATGAACACAGCAGGCCAAGCAGCATCATAGGAGCAGAGAGGCTGA